TATCCTTGCACTGTTTTTCAAGCCACATGATGAAGGCCATGACATGTGTGGATTGGCTAGTGTCATGGCCTAACCCCACCACCAATCGAGTGAAGAGTTGACGATCAATGTTGTGAAAGAGAAATAATTCTTCTTTGGTAACAATTACATTGGCTCCTAGGTCTGAGGATGGCATGAAGGAAGCCATTGTTAGAGAGTGGTGATGATGTGATGAAAATATAGCTATTTATAAGGGTATATGATGTTTAATTTTAATAAAAAAAAATGAAGCGGTGAGATTTTTATCTAAGAAAGGAAATTACTGGGGAAAATGAACCAAGTTCATTATTTCAATGTCCTTTCCATGTATGAGGCAATTAAGGACGAATGAAAATTTTCTATGTACATTGTGTAATCTATTTAAATAGACTATCTAATTTCTTGATTTAGACTAAAATGTTGCATATCTCAAGACGCGTAATTAAAAAACAATGCGAGTCTTAAATTATTACAATATAGTATCATCGCAATAATTAATATCAATTTAATTTATTTACTAAATGCATATAGTACTTGAATATTTAGAAAGAATCAATAAAACACTGCAGTTAGTTAATCGTGATGAGAGTTTGGATAAGAATATATATAAAATCTTAAATTTGACTTTTTTTTTACTACAATTGAATACCAAATATTTTATAGAAAAAGTAAATAATATATGAATTCAATCAAGTCAATAATTGGGACAAAATTCATTTTTTTTTTTGACAAAACTACATTTATAGAACTCACTAATTGCATTCCCTTATATTTCGTATAATTTATATTTCATTTTAAAAATTAGTATATATATTAATCATTAATTTAGATAAATTAGATTTGCCAAATGCATGATTTTATTAAATAGTTTTATTTAAACAATAGAAGAATTGAAATTAATTTGCATATTGTCATATATTGTCTATTTCATTTAATAATTTTCTTTCTTATTACGGTTTTTAGATTTTATTTAATGAAAATATTAATTTCATATCAAGTAATAGCAATAACAACAACAATAATTCATATTCTTTTATGAGTAAAAAAAATGATAGAAACAAAAGAAACTACCTAAGACCTATAAGGGTCCCTATCCCTAAATTATTAGCTAAGAGAAACAACTTAACATCTATATTTTGAGATATTTTAAAAAGTTAATTTATTTACAAAATTATTTTAAATTTTAATTTTAATTTTAAACCATTATTTTATTAATTGATGCTTTTTAATGTCTTGTTAATATTAATTTTAATAAGATATAATATCTTAATAATTGTAGTTTTAATTAATTTTAAATTAAATTATCAAATATTTAAATTAATTATTTTTAATTTTTATAATTAATTATAGTCACAACGGTCAATATCACCCTTCTATAAAAATTAAGAACCAATAGAGTCAGATGTATTGAGCATTGCTCTCTTTTATCCTTCTCTATATTATCTTTTTTTTTTTTGTGAAGAACTTGTCAGTCTTATATCTTCAGTCTAGCATTAAGAAGATCATGTTGTACTTTATAGGCTTATGTGGAAATCTGTGAATAAGTCCTTTTGGGAAATACATTGTAGGAGTTTAGATTAGTTGATATTCTCGGCATGCCAT